ATTTTTAATTTTAAAAGGATGTTATTCAATCTGAACCAATATAAATTTAATTTGATTTGATTTTTTTATATTCGATTTTGTCGTTAATTAATAAATAATATAATCATAGTTATATTTACAATTTGAAGAAAAAAGTACGCTAAGAAAAATAATAATATTAAATTTTTTAAATATACTTTCTAATATAAATCACAAGTAAAATTTAAATTACACTATTTATAAATATATCAATTATAGATGTTAAAACATAATATACAAACATAATCATAATGCCATGACCCGTTAAGTCTCCAACTCAACCCTTGAAGTAAAGGTCTGTTTGGTTTCACTTTTGACTTATGACTTATGACTTATAAGGCAACAAGCATAGTTAGAATTTATAATTTATGACTTTTAGCTTATTTTTGTTGTTTTTGACTTTAAAATAAGTGTTTATAAGCACTTTTAAACTTTATCCAAACACTTCAAAGCTACTTAAATGTTATTTTAACTTTAAAAAACCTAAAATAAGTCAATCCAAACGGGCACTAAATGGGGTATGAATGTTAAAAATATTAGTAAATTACATAAATTCATAGTTTAAATATGAAATTACAATCTATCCCTAATAGATTTTAAATACATTAATCCCTTAAAAATAAAATAAAAATTCAATAATTGAAGCTCGAATACATTAATATGTAGCTGAGATACATTAAATACTGACTCGAATATATTAATGTGCAGATCCGATACATTAAAAATAATGAATTTTGAAGATTTTAGAAAGTAATAGAAAATAATAGAAATAAGTAAAACAAAAGGTGTGTATTTATGTAATATGTCCTAAAAATATTTATTATATATTGTAGTAGTGTTTTATTTGCAAAGATTTCGTCAATAAATATTTAAAAAATATAAAATTATGTCTTAACTTCTTTGTAGGTCTTTTACATTTCACGACCTTTAGCCGACTAAAATCAATTCTACTTTCAATTTTATGTCTAATTTTTCATTTTCTCCTTTATTGTCTTATTTATGAAAAAAAGTGATCGTGTCATAATTTTTGCTGGGATGAATCTTGCAATGTTGTATGTTGGCTATTATGTTGGTTATTATGTACTTTTATAAGTGTTCACAAAAATGTGTAATTATATGTATTGATGTCGTCTTCATCAGATATCAACGTTTGATACTCTTAGTCTTAGATATTCTTTCTAAGACACAATGATGTTCGTTTTTCTGGTTGAACGGTCGACCTGTTCCAACTCGTGGTCCGCTTAGAACTGGATTTGACTGCTATTTTATAGGTTCTTCAAATAAAATGATCAGCTTGTACTAACTTATTTAACTCTCTAACACGCTAGAATTAGGTTGAGTTGGACCAACTCATTTTGACAAGCTCTACTAAAAATGAATAGAGGTGATTAACACCAACTTAATTCTATATATACAATTTGATTTTTTCTGTTTTTCTTTTTATAACTTCTAAAGCAAACAAAAAATCAATCAAAACTAAAATTTTGTGTAATGTGATTTGATTTAATTTGATTTTTCAATAGTGCACATCCCTACTTTTAAGCTACTTGCAAGTTATTAGAAAGAATTTGTTCCATAAGTTACTGTAAGCAGGGGCGACACCACCCTTAGCCAAGAGATGTCAAGTCGTACCCTTTACAATCATTATTTCATAATGTGTTGTAATGTATTATATTCTATTGTACTGTATTGTACGGTAAATATAATGTTTTGCTAAATTGTATTGTTTGTTATTGTTTAGTAACATTTTAATTGTTTGGTTTGATTGTATCGTACTGTATTTTAATTTATAAATTTACTTAAATATTCTTAATTATTCTAAGGTAGAAGGTTTGACTAGATTTAAATAATTAAGGTAAAGGGTAAAATAGTATTTTGAAATATTATATAAAGATATAATTGAGAAAAGAAATTAAGTAATAACGGAAACACACCAAATTGGTTGTTCCATAAAATAAGAGTTTCCATTGTTACGTAATAACGAAATTTAACAATACAATATAATACATTTTAAGTAACAATCAAAATAAACATTGTATAGTAACAATATAATGAATAACACTGATCCAAACACAATATTAGTTAATAAATTAGAGATCAAATTTTATTTTAATAAATATACATAGATGTTGACACTATTCTTTTAAGAGCCATTTTTCCATGTAGCCAAAGCTTTGGTATCATTGATAATTTATAAGGTTCTTTTTGAAATATAATTATACTTGATTGAAACTCCCTTTTTAGGTAATACTAATCTATATATATATATATATAAATCTGAATCAAGAATTGATGATGTGGCATGCCTCTAAGGGCTGGATTTTTTATTTATTTATTGCAGATTTTTTGTGTAAAGTTTCTTTTTTCATTTTAAAATATAAAATATTATTAAATATTTTCATAAAATATTAAAGCATACTATTTAATCACTCCCTCATTAAATCATACATAAAAGCTTCAGTTATCAAATTCTTACCTTAAATTTTTTTTTCTTAATTGTAAAATTTAAGAAAATTTATTCTTTACACTTAATTAGAGAATTTGAAAAGTTTTTTAACATTAACTTTTGAATACTATATAAACCATACCATTAGATTGCTACATGTTGGACATGAGATTGTTTGTAAAAGATGAAAGTCGGATGAATAGATGGTGTCGAGATAGTCATGGATTTCTGCGCTGCTGATCGAAGAAGACGACTGAATATGGAGTTTGAAAATCTCTGAAGCTTTTGTCATTCTTTTGCATTTGTTTATTTACTTTTCTTTTTTTAAATTTAGTTAGTGCTATAATTTATTTTCCTTTTTGATTATTGAGAATCGATCCACTTTTGGAATTGATAGTTGTACTATTTTAAAATTTTTATTGACTAAACCTTGATAGAACATTTGTGTTTTTTCTTTAAAAAGAAAATATTTCATGTAATATAATTAAAATTTAAGTTTAATTTTCAGTCATTTATTTTGTTACATATTTTAATTTTTTATTTTCTCTAATCTATGAAATCTGAAAAAAAAAATCAAATTTCTCATCATTATTACAATTTATTAATTTTCATTTTTCTTTATCATTACTACAATTTATTATTTTTATTGAAATTCTTTTTTCTACCTTCTATTTTTATAATTTTCTAAAAAAGAAATGTATTTAACTCTGATCCTTATTTTCATAATTTTTACATTGTACCTTCTATTTCTATTATCTTTTATAAATATGTATGTTTTATTTATGTCTCCTTTTATTACCATGAATATGTTCTGCCCATTTTTTCTCAATTAATTTCATTTAATTTGTTGTAAAATGTTGAAAAAAATTAAAATATTTTATTTTTTATCATTAATAAAATACTATTAGTTAATTTTTCTAAAATTTTTCTTTCATTCTCCTAAATTTCTTTCATTTATTAAAAATAAAACACTTTTTAAATTCTGATAAATTTCTATCACGCTCATTTTTAAAGATTTTTTTTTTTGTAATTTATCAGAAATTTATTTATAACTTATTCTTTTTAATTTTTAAACTTCGTATTTTTTTTGAGTAGCAGGAGTTTAGTTTTTTTTTTTGTGTATATATATATATATATATATATATATAAACTACAAAAATAAAAGGTAATAAGTGAAATATAAAGAAGAGAAATATTTAAGAAATATATTTTTATATGTAAGCAAAACGGTAGCTTTTGAATTTCTTATTTTTGGAAAAGTATAATTGATTATTAATTAATAATTGATTTTTTAATTTTTTTTTTATTTTCTTTTTTTCCCTTCATTTACAACTCAATTCTTTAATTATTATACTCCCTCCGTCTGGATTGTTTGTCATGATTTTTATTTTAAGAGTCAAACTATAAAAAACTTTGACTAACATTTTAAGATGTATTTTTTCATCATATTAATATGCAAAAAAAATGTAATTTATAGTACTTTTCATGTAGTTTTAGAATATCTGATTTTTCTGTTTAAAATATCGAATTGATGTGATCTAATTTACCTTTGTAAGGGAGTATTAAATAAAATGTTAAGAAACTAAAAAGTTATTTCTTTGATATAAGTTTTAATGATATTTATTTTCATTACATTAACAACTTTTTATTTTTCTAATTTCTAAAGTAATTAATAATCATATTGATATTAGATATTATAGTCGTATAAATAAAGATAGTTAAAATTTTATAGAAATCATCACTTTAATTTTTTTGTTGTTATGTTTTTGAGAGATATTGTTAGATTATGTAGAAATCATCACATTGATTTATTTATTTTTTTGTTGTTTTTTATATTCTTTATGTTTATTATTTGCATATTTTAGTTTGACTCAAAAAAATAAGATGCAAATTATTAAATTATGATTAACCTATGGAGTGGATGTTAGCAAAAACTCGAAAGATTAATTATGCATTAAATTTATATATTATTTTTTGATATAAAAAATCAAGGTTTAACGATTATATTACAAAACACATCTTTATTTATATGATACTTAATAAAATTACTCATAACTTATCATTTTTAATAATCGCGCGAAACGCGTATAAGTTCAATAGTTATTTATAATTGTCAACTAAATTTTGACAATTCATTGCTATATATATCCGTTTCTAGTTCGAGGAACAATAACTTTTTTTTTCTTTGAAAAAACTCTTTATAATTTGTAAAATAAAGTAAAATATTTGTATAAATATTTGACGCATGATAAAAAAGTTTCATTTATCGTCAAAAAATTATTTAGAGTGGACTATATTAATAAAGCTCTTAAATTTATTTTAAATACTTAAATTATAATTTATTTAATTTAATAATTGAGTACGTGATAAATTGTTCTTATAAATACTCTTTGCTTTATTATGAAAACAGTTGTTGCAATTATCACAAATATTAATTGCATAAATAAGTTGATCAAATAAAATCATTTTAAAAGAAATTATACACATTTATTTTATAATTATAACTAGAATATGTATAAAGTTTTACCGTTTATTAAGATTATAATTAATGTGTATAACTAATGTTTTTCCAAAAAAAAAAGAAGCAAATTTAAGTTTTTCTATATATTGACACTATAATAAGGGAAAATAAAAAAGAAAAGAAAAGAAAAGAAATTAGTGGGACCCACCGTCAGTCGTCTTCTAAAATCATGCAAAGAGGCCGGAAAACCGTATTACTCTGTTCTTGATTTTCCGGTTCCGTTTTGTTTTACTACTTCACTAAACTAACTAACCCTACTTCTTTTTCCCCTTAAACCCTAGTTTTCCTGCTTATAATCTCTCTGTTTTCACCATTATCTTGTTATTAACTGTGGGTTTTTTTCTTTCTTATTGAACTAACGGTTAAATATCCGGTGTTTCTTTTGTTGGGTTGTTCGTTTTTTTTTTGTATTTATGTTGGTGAAGAAATATGGGTGTACTGGAAAAGATATCGGAAGCATTGTATGACAATGAGGAGAAGACAGTTGAGTTGAGGCAAAAGATACTGCAGTTGATTTTAGAATGGGGTTGTTTTGATAAGGACTTAAAATTGCCGAACAACTGTTTGAAGGGATGTTTCACTGAGATGGAGGGTAAGGAGATTAAGGATACTAGGGAGTCGTTAGAGAGGAAAGAGGAGGAGTTGGAGTTGAAGTGGAAGAGATTGAGTGCGGCGAGAAGAGGGTTTGCTGAGACTGTGAAGTTAAGGGAGGAGAAGTTGAATGATCAGGAGAAGATGGTCGAGAGATTATGGGAGGAGGTTGAGTTTGAGAGGAAACAAATTGGGGATGTGGAGGAGAAGTTAATGGGGATTCATGCGAAAGAGAAGGAGTTGAACAAGATTCAGATTTGGATTCGCCATGAAACACAAGCTCTTGAGTTGAAAGATCAAGAATTGGCTGAAAAGATGGAGGAGTTTCAAAAGTTGCAGAGCATGAAGAAGGAATATGATGTTAATGTAATGGGGTTGGAATCTGTAAAGAATGAACTAAGGGTGATCAAGAATAACTTGGATAATGTGAGAAAAGAACTAAAGGAGAATGAAAGTAACTTGGAATCTGTGAAGAAGGATGTTATTTTCGAGGAAAGTAAGTTGGATAATGCAAAGAAAGAACTAAGGGTGACTGAAAATAACTTGGAATCTTTGAAGAAGGATGTCACCTTCCAGGAAGGTAAGTTGGATAGTACGACGATAGAATTAAGAGCAAAGGAAAGTAAATTGGAGGTTTCGAAGAAAGAAATTAAAGAAAAGGAAAATAACTTGGAATTTGTGAACAAGGCACTTGTTGTTAAGGGGAACAGGTTGGATGGTGTGAAGAAAGTATTAAGAGTGAAGGAAGGTAACTTAGAGTATTTGGAGAAGGAACTTAGAGAAAAGGATAAGAAAATGGATTATGTGAAAAAAGAACTAAAGGAGAATGAAAATAACTTGGAATCTGTGAAGAAGGATCTCACTGTTAAGGAAAGTAAGTTGGATAGTGTGAAGAAAGAAATTGGAGTAGAGGAAAGTAAATTGGAGATACTGAAGAAAGAAGTTAGAGGGAAGGAAAATAACTTGGAAGCGGTGAATAAGGCACTTGCTGTTAAGGAAAACAGGTTGGATGGTGTGAAGAAAGTATTAAAAGTGAAGGAAGGTAACTTAGATTGTGTGGAGAAGGAGCTTAGAGAAAATAAAAAAACAATGAATTCTATGAACAATGAACTTGCTGTTGTAGAAAATATGTTGGATGGTATGAAGAAAGAACTGACGTTGAAGGAAAGTAACTTAGATGTTGTGCTGAAGGAACTTAGAGAACAGGGAAGAAAGATGGACTATGTGAACAAGGAACTACGGGAGAAGGAAACTGACTTGGATTCAATGAAGAAGGAAATTGCTGTTTTGGGAAACACGTTGGATAGTATGAAGAAAGAACTGACGTTGAAGGAAAGTAACTTAGATGTTGTGAAGAAGGAACTTCAAGAAAAGGTAAAAAACTTGAATATTGTCGAAACAGAGCTGAGGGAGAAGATGTACGAATTGGAGTCGGTGAAAAACGATTTCAAAGCTGAAGCAGAGAACTTGCATGCTCTTAGAAAGCAAGTTGAATCTAATGAGGAGATCTTGTCCTCAATGAAGGAGGAGATTGAACACAAGGAGAAATTTCTGGGTGCAATGAAGAAGAAACTTGAACTCCAGGAGGAACACTTGAAGTCATTCAGTGAGAGTCTCCATTTAAGGGAGAGAGAGCTTGATTGTACTCAAGAAGCATATAAGCTGCGTGTTGAAGAGCTTAATTCAAAGGAGAAGGAGCTGGATTCAGCAGAGGAATTTACGAAAAAAGCTATGAGGGGTTTCAATCTGAAAAGAGACAATTCCTCGTAGAGCAAGGACTTTTTGAGCAACGCATGAAAGATGTTATACTTAGAGAGGAGAGAATTAAGGATAGATTAGAGGAGCTTGAATCAAGAGACAAACATTTTGAGGATCGGTGTAGAGAGCTCAGAGAGAAGGAGAAGCAGTTGAATGGTATTCCTAATGCGCACTTAAAGACAGAAGCTACTGAAGATGTAACAGTGGACACGGTCTATACTACTGTAGGTAATTCTACTGTTACAAGATTTACTGCGATAATGGATGGGAAGAGCTTACAGATATTCTTAATTGAGCATGAGAAGGAGCTGGCTTTGATGTCTGATGACATTTTTGAGGCTCTGCAGATGTCTCCTGACCCTGCAAAATTGGTGCTTGATGCAATGGAAGGTTTCTGTCCTCCCCATTTGAGAAAGAGAGAAACAGAGTTTGAGGGTAGTGTTGCCCGAAGGAGCTGCATTCTTCTGTTAGAGCAGTTAATTAGGGTTTCACCAGAGATTCAAGGTTCTGTGAGGGAAATAGCAAGATGCATTGCAAGTGATTGGAAGGTCAAAATAGAGGCTACCGAAGGAAACCAAGATGAGATCTTGGTTTTCTTGTATCTTTTGGCTGCGTACAGTTTGGTTTCTTTCTTTGATGCTGATGAACTTATGATCCTGCTGGAGAGTGTTGCTAAGCATGACAAATTTGCAGAATTGTGTTGTGCTCTTGATATGAAGCAGAATTTACCTTGTAAGTATATTAGTATTTTTTTTTTTGTGGATAAACTAAAGGTAGACGATACTATTAACAAGCATCCATCTCCCACTGCAAAAACACATCATAAATAATTACTGCTGTAGTTTGCTAATATTGTTCCAGGCTCCAACACAGTACGATGCTGAATTTACTTTAGTGCTCCTGTGACATTACTCAGCATGCTTTGGTAAATTCCTTCCTTGTTCATTGCCCAGGAATTTACCAAAGCATGCTGGACCTTGATTGGACCAATTCGACTGTCTATTGGGAGATCATGTTGCAACAGTAAGAAATTTCAGATTATTTAACATAACAGTCCATTTAGCTGGAGCTATTCAATTCTCAAATCAATAGTTTGTTTTCTCACAAGTTAGAAGTGAGATGTCTTTCTGGACAGTTGAAAGTTTGACTCGTAACTGAGGTTTTATCCTTAAATATTTTAAGTTCTTTGGCCTCTGGTGTACTAGAATCTTGTTATATGTCAACATGGTTGTCTTATTAGAGATTGTAGTTGAGAAAATCACTACCCTAGCTTTCTTTGGGAAGATGGTGACAAACTAAAGCAACCTACTCATTATGTTTTCAGGTTTTATCCAGAATCTTCTAACCAAGCAGCAACACCTTGAAGCTATTAGACATGCTTATGCTTTTGAACTAGTGGACCATTTCCCGCCCACAGCCATTCTGAAAGATTACTTGGAATGTGTTGAACGTAATTATGTGAATGTCTTGGAGAAAGCGACCTCCTCCGCTGAAGAAAAGGTACCATGCCACTTATGTTGCCAATATATTAATCTACTCCTTTAAGATCAAAGACTCATTTAAAAAAAAATCTATTTAATTTTTTGTCAATAGATTGAGGCCATTGAACAAAGGGTTGCTTCTGTTAGAGCTGTTATCAGATGCATTCTGGTTTACAAACTTCAGTCTCAATATCCGGTAGAACAACTTGAAGAGCAGATAGAATTTCTTACAAGGCAGAAGGAAGATCAAGCTGCATTATCCATCATTTGTGAGGCTAAAAGGCCAGAGCAAGCTAATGTGAACCAGATGGGATCAACTAATCCATCTATTCGCACAGGCACCAAGGCCCTTAACTCTGTATCAGTCTCTGCTAAAGCCTGCGCTTGCACTTTTGATCATTCCAATACTATGGCAATTATTATTATGAACATGAGTGGAAATAATTTGCAGAATTTTTTGAACAAGCATTCTAAGGAGCACAAGTTGTTGCGCAGTGAAGTCTTTAGTGCTCTTCAAATGTCACTGGACTCAGATATGCTTGTGTTGGAAGCACTGGAAGGGTTTTATCCTCCCAACCATCGGAGAGAAGAGATTGGATTTCATCGTAATATTATCAGGCAGAGTTGCATCCTTTTATTAGAACAATTGATGGAACTTTCACGGGAGATTATACCAGAGGCTAAATTAAAAGCAAGCAAGCTTGCATTTGCCTGGAAAGCAAAGATGATGACTGAAATGGAAAACCATTTGACAATCTTGGGTTTTCTGCTTCTTGTAGGTTGCTATAGATTGTCATCTGCCTTCGAGAAAGAGGAACTTGAGAGTTTGTATCACAAGGTAGCACATCATGTGAATACATCTAAAATTTGTCACGTCCTCGGTATTTCAGATAATACTTCAAGTAAGTAATTAGATATAAGAATTTTTTATATGGTATTGTCAAATTTTCTCCTAGATTTTTGTGTTATTGTTGCCTTTTCAAAAACTGATGATTTTCCTTCCGTAGAAAAATCCAAGAGACATCAGGCTCAAGGCTGTACAGATGAATCTATTTGCGACAACATGGATATAAATGGCAAAAGACACGATGTACTCTGCCATTGTGCTTCAAGTTCATATTGTACATCAGATCCTGCTTTGCTTGTATTGGATGCTTTCCTGAGCTGTCATCCCACAAAAATAGTGAGGTGTGAAAACTTCCCATCAGTTATGAGGGCTTTCTCTGATCTGTTGGACCAGCTGAGAGGAGTTTCTCCAGAAATTGATCTTCATGTTAAAAAGGAAGCTTTTGTGTTTGCATCTGACTGGTATTCTTTTTTGATGGGGTCCCAAGTAAAACCTACCGAGATCGTGGCATTTTTGCAGCTTTTAGCTATTTATAAAATAACAGATTCTTTCCATCCAGATAGACTTTTAGGTCTCCTGGAGAAAGTTCAGCCAACTGAAAGGGTTGTTGCTTTGGTCAAAATCCTTGGGCTGACAGATGAGATCCAATGTGTGTTTCCTCTCTCTTCTATTATTTGTTTCACTTTGAAATGTGCCCGTGTACACACAAAATCACCTCCCAATATGAATGACATGCTGCACTGCCTCTTGTCATATGCAGTCACAAATTTCTGCTCTTCACATCTCTGATTATGAAATTTTGGTTCCAATTGCCTTTATAATTGGTTAGAGCCTGCTAATATCCTTTCCAGAGATAGAATTTGTAGGATACATCTTGTTTTATGATGACTTTTTTCTGTTGAAGTTGTGGTTTAACTTTGTCCAAGGAACGTGGAATTTCTCCTGGGTGGCTTATATCTTGGCTATCTACGGTCTATGTTATTTGCCGAATTAACCCCATCTATGTGGGCATCCTCACATTGTCAGCTTATAAAGGAGCGGCATGTCAATTTTTACAGTAAAACTACACAACTAATTGACTTATCATGAATCAGTAGTCATAGAAGGATGAACAGCACTAGAAATGATCACATTTTACAAAAAGTGGAAGTAGTAAACGTTGGATAAATAAGAGAAGCTCGCTTGAGATGATTTAGTCTTGTCCTGATGTAGGCCTTGAACTGTATCCGTGCAGGTGTGTTTGAAAGGAGAAGTTATCTAGAAATGTATACAATCTCTTCTGTTCCATCTAGACTTGGGGAGAACAGAGTATAATGAAAGAAAAGATCCATTTAAGCAATACCAATTAGGTGGGATTTTTTTGGATAACCTCCTTAGTCAGGAATTGGGATAAGGCTTAGTTTTTTCATTACACTTACTTCAGGTTCAATATTAGAAGATTATATTGTGTTAGGATTTGTATGTCAGTAGAAGAGATAGAGAACTTGTAGTGTTAAATAACTTCAGTTATTAAATATTAGTTGGAGACGGGCTTAAATAGAATGACATGGATAGTGAGGAGTTGTGGGGTCTCAGTTCTCAGAATAAAGTTGGTGATAATCTTGCAGCTGATAAACCTTTGTTTACGTTTATTTTTTTCCAGATCTTTTGATGCCAATGTAGCTAGAAACTGCATTCAGTTCAGTTGCTATCAGGGTGTGCGTTGGTGTTTAAAAAAAATCAGCATTCACTAAAAATTTTGTTCCTTCTAACGTACAATTTCTACATGTTTTCTTATATTCCCTATATTGTAACAAAAATTTCAATTGTCTTCTACTGATATTTTCAATTTGTCCATTTTACTGGTAACTTCAGTCTATAGGCAAAATTTTTACAGTACTCTCCCTTCATTTCTCTGAGATAACCAAAGACGGAACCACCTTTGGATTTATCTGACCGATCTTTTCTTTCCCCCCTTTTTTTTTTCTTTTTTGAGTTGCAGACTTGGTCCAAAATCTTAGAGACAAAAACCAGTGGCTGGTGGCATTTAATTATGTCTATGCATTTGAGCTTGTTAACTTGGTTTCACCAGTGTTGCTCCTGAAGGATTATGTCAGTTACTCAAAACAGATCGCCAAGCGAATTCTTCATGCTGGAAATAGTTCTTATGAAGCCCAAGTATGTAGTCTTTTCTTCCCTTTAAGCAAATAGCATCATGAATTGATCACTTCTTCTGAAGTACAAAATCAAGTTTAATTTGTGTTTTGTTTCGCAGATTAAGGCTATAAACTGTGAAATATATGCACTAAGAAATGCAGTTAGACATATTGTGGATCGTGGTCTTCAATCGGAATATTCACCTTTCTGTCTTGAACGACAGATCGAAAGACTTCAATATCAGATATCAAACTTGAGGCGATCAGACTCAAATTGGGACTTAACTGGTATGTCCCAACAACATGAACCAAATAACGGAATTTACGAATCTGGTACATTTGCTCAAGTGCGAAAAGAGTTCACAAGGAAACGTTCTGCCCCAGCCGGCGAAACTTATGCTATCTACAGGGCTCAACAAACACAGTATTTTAAGCGCCATAGTCATTTATCCATGAGGAGATAAGCTGTATCAAGTGTTATATTAACAATCTTTCACAGCTATGTTCTGTACAAGCATTTTGGAGGAACATTTGAAGGGCTAATAAGAGTTTAATGATAACACGTCTTTTAGGGAGAAAGAGGGGAAGGCATAGTTGTCTGGGGATAACATTTTGAGGCTCACTTTTCCAAATATTTGTATGATTTCTTGAGGTAAACAATTCAATGAATCCGAAGGCTATCAGAACCTGACTACCATGATTTTGAAGGCGAGGTGATTGTGGTGGTATATGTGTAAGATCCTCCCGGGTGAAGACATGGATCATCTTCTTCTACATTTAGGGTAGTCTCTTATGGTTGAAAATTCTATGATCTTTTGGCGTATATACAGGTATTGTGGAAGGAATGTCGTTCAACTGGGACTACGGAAGATGGAGGTGAAGATGCAAGGCACATAGAGGTGTTCCACTAACACTCATGTAGGTTGTTTTTGGGGAGAAAACATGAAAGTTTTTGAAGGGATTCTGCACTGTTAATAGTCTTTGGTGCACCCATGATTGTATAGACTATTGGGTGTTGACTTGTATAAAATCATATCTTCTTTTTAGGTTTTCCATATAATACAAAACCATATCTTTTTTTTACGTTTTCGTATATGTCTTGTATAATATAGGTGTTTATCTTACTGCACCAGTTCATTCAATAAAAGAATATTCTCAGCCTTCAATGCTTGTGTTGTGTGGAAATAAATCAATCTATTGTACACTTTTGCTACTAAACTTTCAGTGTTGGATGTATGATTTGTCCAATTATACCATATCGTAGAAAATGATAAATAGATGCAAAGCCACAATAGCATATATAGGAATTGCCAAATTATCAATCAAGAACTTAATTATTTGATAAAAGGTGCCAAGAATTCACTTAGGAGGTGTTTTGGTTCATTTTTCTTGGCAAATCCAATGTGTTCATTCAGATCACAATATTTCTTAGATTTGAATCTTAATTATTAGTAAGTGATATTTACTTTCGATTCAAAACTTTACATATATATATATATTATAAAATTATTTTAAAAATATTAAGAGACTAGGGGTCAAATCTAATTAAAGATAAAAAGATTTAATGGAAAATAGTAGGTACACGATAAAATAATCATCTCTGGAGCCATATAGACAACAAAATCTTAGATGTGCCTAATGTTAATTTGAACGTATGCTAACATGTAAACAAGAGAAAATTCCGTATTATTTCGTTTAATTAAAATTTAGAAGGACTTAATTTGCCAAGTGACAAAATAAAATAGGTTTACTCTCTTATTCCTGAATCAAAATGCATTTTTGTTGTTATTACTTTTATGTGATAAAATAGAATCGTGTGACTTTAAAAATAAAAATCTATAATTTTGATCATTTGTAAAATTTATCGAGAAAAAGATAGAAATTTTATGTTTTCAAACGTGTAAAAAATCTGAAAGGCTTTTTAATTAATCAAATTTCCTCCTCAATGTGTAGTGTAGAAACAACTCTCTTGCTTTTAAGACAGAGTGATGTGTCTAATTTCTAAAACAAACCATGTAGACCATTCAAAATACTAGTATATCAAAATAGGGGCTAAAGTGCTAAAATGTAAACTCTTCTATGTTTGTATGTTCATTCTTTTATTTTTGTCTTATATTAAATATTCCTTGTACTTTTGAGAAGGGTTCACAAACTTGTTATGAATTCCCAAAAAATAACAAATGAATTGTTTCAATACTTTATATTGCCCTTTGGCAAAGGAGTTTTAATGAAATTGTTAACCTTCCAAAATATTTCTCAAGACTTCCCCAAATGTTTTAATCAAATATGTACTTAGTTATTCCTTGTCAAAGTTGGTCATGGTCTACATTTGATCACCCATCGTCCACTAAAAATGCACATGTTTGATCTATTTTATAGTAACACAAAATTTAAGAAAGTAAAAAAATATATTTAAATTTTATGATTTTAAATTAAAGATATGTCAATGACAACTACATATCCAGTGATATTTCACACTTGGGGTCTGGAGAAGGTAGTGAATAGAGATCTTATCACTATCTCGTGAAGGTCAAACTATGTCCAAAAACCCCTCGACTTAGTGCAACAATCTTTTTTGGTTCTTCAAGCTCCGACTAAATTTGGAATGTACACTCTAGGGCCCCATTCATTGATGATACTGCCAACAAAATTTTCTTCTTATCCAGGGCTCGCACCCTAGTCCTCTAGTTAATGGGTGGAGTCATTCCATCATTACAATACAAACCATATTGATAAGTGCAACAAATGCAAGTATAAAGAAGAAAATATAGCAACTAACAAGAAAAATAATGCGACGCCTACAATAACAACAAAATAATGCAATTAATCGTAACACAGTAAACAACTAACGATGATTGATAAAAAATAAGAACTACAATAATACGACTAGTACAACGACAAACACTAATAGGCCGAAACCCTCGAAAATCAATACAACCCTTCACTGCCTACGAACCTTATACCCTAGTAAGCGTCCTCCACACCCTTCAATCCACGTGGTCAGATCAAAATATGTGAAATGTACCAAAATGCCATTTAATCTTTTGGTCTAAAACATGTTTCGTGAAAAGTAAAAACAAAAGAGTTGCTAACAATGGAAAAAGTCGGTCTTCATGAAACGGGCTTAAAAAGAAAAGTAGGTCAAACAAATTAAATCTCGGATTCAAATAGGTCCTTTTAAAGCCCAAAATTTCTTAATGGGCCAAATTGAAAACCCAAAAACTTATGGGCCCCCAATCAAATTTCAATTCAAACAACCCTTTCACAATTGTATCAATGGTAAGGAATAAGAAGAGCCCTTGTTTGTTCTTATTGGGAGAATGAAATTTCAGAAGTAGTCAGAGACTTTCTCTTCCCCAATTTCTTGAAATATTCACTCTCTTTCTCTCTCCATATTTGTGTGTCAACTGAGGTCTTTCTCTCAGACCCTTTTCATATCAGGCGTGTTACTCTAATGGGTATGCATATTCTCTCATGTTGTTTTTGTTAGATAAGATATAGTCTGTGTGTATGTTGTTCTCCTTTTCGTTTTTTTTTTTTTTTTTTCTGATTTGGGGTTTTGGATCACATATGTGTTAGTTGTTTGAAGCATTTGGACTGTCAGTGTTGACCTTTTAAAAATATTTTTCTCAATTTGTGGTTTTTACGAATTGCAATTCGCGTAATTGATTTTTTAGGGTTTTGAATATTTGTTGATCTGTTTTCTGGTGTTTGAATTATGGGGTTTCTCTCAAGTTTTTGGTACTTAGGTGGTGATAATTGCTTCTCTTTGTTAATTTTGGTTATATTTGAACTACTTGGGTTTCGCTTTATGTGAGATAACCTGTATTCTTCTTACTCCGTCACATTTTAACAAACTTGTAGTGGAGTAGTTTCCTAGACTTAGACTTAACATGTTCAGAATCATAAGACTGGTTATGCTCAGTAGTCAGGATTTACAATATAAAGATAGAAATAGACCTACCTCCATACTTAAGGGACCATTTGTGTTTAAAAAAATCCCTTTTTTAATATATTGTTTTACTTATCGTTTTGGTAGATTTGGTTTAAAGAGCTATTCTTTGGTGCAGATTTTGATATATTCATATAAGCCCCCCGTCCCCGCCCATCTTTTTTTTTAAAAATGAAATGGTAACAATTGTTTAAAAAAAAAGTGCAAAGGTAGTGCTGGGATTCTGTTCAAGCGAGTAAAAAAGCCAAAGTACATCCCCCTTCTAATAGGTATTTCTTGTTATTCTTAAAGTGAAATAGCATGACGATTGATATAAGCTTCTCATTTTATGTGGGTTTGATTTGCCCCTTCCGCAAAACCTAGCTGCTCCAAAAGTACATACAGTATAACTGAAGGTAACTGGTAAAGTTTCTTCTTCAGAGCTGTTGCTACACAACATATTAATAATCAAAATGCATTTTTCTGTATCTGCCTTGAGGATTGCATTGTTTCATTTTTTCTACCTTTTAGTACTCTTGCTTTGTTTTGTGAATGTAATGTCACTGTGTTGATACACTGCTTTTATTTCTGTTTGAATGCACACTTTTTGTGATATTGATATAATTTTCCTTCTCTTGTATGTGGTTATAGGATTGGGATGAAGAAGGCAAGTTAGAAACTTTTGTTTAACCTGGTTGGTTGATTTATTAAGTGGAATCTGTGATGGACTGCAACAAGGATGAGGCCATGAGGGCCAAAGAGGTTGCGGAGAAGAAAATGTTGAATAATGACTTTGAAGGGGCTAAAAAGGTTGCAGTGAAAGCAGAACAACTTTACCCTCAACTAGAGAACATATCCCAGTTACTTGCTGTCTGTAATGTTCACTGTTCAGCTCAAAACAACAGAGTAGGATCAGAAAGGGACTGGTACGGTATTCTTCAAATTGATAGGTTGTCTGATGAAGCAACCGTCAAGAAACAATATCGGAGACTTGCACTCATGCTTCATCCTGACAAGAATAAGTTACCTGGAGCAGAGGCAGCTTTCAAGCTAATTGTGGAAGCAAATATGGTTCTCTCTGACCAAGTCAAAAGGTCTTTATACGATAGTAAGTACAGAGTTATGTCCGGAGCTGGAATTGCAAAGCCACCGCCTCATATGGTTAATCAAAATTCATTCGTCAGGAAAACCAACATGCAAAATGGTTTCAATGTTCAGTTCAGTAATCTAAATCACCATAAATATACACAACCAACTTCATCTGCAATGCAGGAAACTTTCTGGACGCAATGTCCATCTTGCAAAATTAGGTACCAGTATTACAGTACTTATGTGAACAGTACTCTACGCTGCCAGAAATGCTCGAAGTCTTTCACTGCATATAATTTAGGTTTTCAAGGTGCCCCATGTGGACCCAAATGGAGTAAACCTGGAGGTCAGGATGTGCCTCTTAAATCTAATCTCAACCAGTCATCAGAGCAGAAAGAGCTTCCTAACCAAGGAGCTTCAAAAATGACTTCAGGCATTGCTGGGTTTCCACCCACCCAAACGGGATACCGACCAGGTTGTAGCAGCAGAACAGCAGGGTCTGAACCAGAAAAATGCAGAGGAAAGACTGCTCCAGTGTTTGAGGATGTAAGGACCAAACAAAAAGATGAAAAACATGAAAAGCTAAAGAGAGGTATGAGAGAAGGATGTTCAAGGCCAAAGGTGGACCGCAAAAGCAGGAAAAGAGGCCGGAAACAGACTGTTGAGTCGAGTGAGAGTGATGATACTTCAACCAGTGTGGAGATAGAGGATGTGGACATTGATAATGGAAACGGTCCACCTGCTGCACAAGGAAATGGAGGTGATGGCTATGGTGCTAGGAGATCTTCAAGGCGTAGGCAGCATATTTCATACAGTGAAGGTGTAAGTGATGATGAGAATGAGTTGGCAAGCCGTCTGAAGAAGGCACGGTCTAACCAGCCAGCTGAAGACAGCAAAACTCAGCCGAAAGAAGCTGTTGGTGGTGATGATCAACATCGAGCTGATTTCACTATTCCGCGCAGTAATTCTGTGGAAAGATTGAACCAAAATGGAGCAGGCCTTCCTGAAGGAGATGTGCAAAACAACAATTCCAAGTTTGAGACAGTTAAGGACCAGTATTCTAGACCGCCCTCAGGTGGCGCAAAAAAAGTTGAACTTATTGTGGATTCTGATTCAGAATCAGATACAGTTCCTGATAGTAATATT